TGCACAAGGGTGAGGCCTGTGTACGCCTGCATCTGTGCAAGCCGCGAGGCTGTATGTGGATGTGAGCGTGGGTGTGTGCTTGACAGTGTGAGCGTGGGTGTACCTCTTTCTGGCCATGGATGACTAAGGCCAGGGATATTCATCATGGCTCCCCCACTTTGAGGGGAAATCCTCTTGAGTCTGAAACGGCAGAGGCCAGGGCGGAGGGGCTCCAAGCTTCTCAGGCTCCAGGCAGTGTTCCCAGGCCCTCTGACCTGGGGGGGACAAAGTCAGGGTGCAGGGAAGTGTGCACGGGCTCTGAGGAGACAAGGGCAGAGCCGGAGTTCCCTTTTGGAAGTCCCCTCCACAGCAGAGATGGTGGGGCCTGGGAAGGACAGCATCCCGGGGTGGGAGGTGGGGGCAGCTGGGCGGGCCAGCACAGCGAGCTGCAGGGGGAGGCAGATCTGAGCAGCATTTAGGACACGGATTGCATTAGAGGGGTATGAGGGCAGCGAGGCATGTTGGAACTCTCCTCACCTCTGCCCTGGCCTCTGGACTGGATGACAGGGGATGAGAGGCTGTCCCTGAGCCAGAGGAGAAGCAGCTTCGGCAGCTTGCGGTGGCCAGTCTGTGCCTGGGACCTGTGTCCTGACTCAGCCACAGTGGGAACAGTGACATGGGGCAGGGGAGGGGATGAAGTGGAGGACCTGGTCAGTGTGAGATGTTGGTGGCTGTCTGGGAGATGGTGTCCAGGAGAAGCCTAGGATGGCTGGGCTGAGATGCCCATGTAAGGGGAGCTTTGAGGGACCAACAGTTGGCGTAATGGCTATGTCATTGGACTCCTATGTAGTTGATCGTGGTTCAAGTCCCAGACACGGTGGCTTAAACTCACGCAGGGTGCGGGTGCATGCGTTCCCAAGATCCCTAGAGGAGAATGGAGGAGAGGGGATTGTGGTGTGGCCATCCCCCCCGGGGGGTGATTTCTCGCTTTCTATCTCTATGTCTCTCTCTGTCTTTCTGGCGAGCGCATGTGCCCTATAGCAAAAACCTCTCCAAAAAAAAAAAAAAAAAGAGTAGCTTTGAACAGTCAGCTAAATTCTTCAAATCAGGGTCCTTTATTTTTTTGCTATAGGGTATATGCACTTTCCAGAGAGAGAGACAGAAAGAGGGAAAGCGAGAAATCGCACCCAGGGGGATGATCACACCGCAATCCCTTCTCCTTCACTCTCCTCTCAAGGTTTTGGGCATGCATGCACAGTTGCCTGGTGTGATGTTTAAGCCTCTGAGTCCAGGACTCTAACTGTGCGGTTGGCCGTGTGGGATCCAGCTGCCTTAACCTCCATGTTACCTGCTGGCCCCAGGGCCCTTTTTGTTTATTTCTATTTCTTTTTCTTCCCTTTTTTTTTTTTTTTTTGCTATAGAGCACATGTGTTTGCCAGAGAGAAACAGAGAAAGTGAGAAACCACTCCCTCTGGGGGACTGACCATGCAACAATTCCTCTCCTCCATTCCCCTCTCAGGATTTTTGGACATGCATGCACATGTGGTTGCTGTGTCTTTTGAGCTGCCAGTTCTGGGACTTGAGAGAGACACACAGTTGGCCATGTACCACCACATATATATTTTTTTTTTGGGGGGGGGGAGAGGTTTTTGCTATAGGGTGTGTGTGCTCACCAGAAAGAGAGAGACAGAGAGATAGAAAGCAAGAAGTCAGGGGGGATGGCCACGCCACAATCCCTTCTCCATTCTCCTCTCAGATCTTGGGCATACACGCACATGTGCCTGGCGTGAGTTTAAGCCACTGGGTCCAGACTTGAACCGTGGTCGACTACATGGGAGTCCAGCGACATAGACATTACACTAACTGCTGGTCCCCATATTTTGTTTTTAAACAAACATGGAACCTGGGCCAGCAGGTTAAGGTGCTGGAATTCCCACATGGCTGACCATGGTTTGAGTCCTGGACCTGGCAGCTTGCTTTCTCACTCTCCCTCTCTCTCTGTCTCTCTCTGGCAAAACTCATGTGAAAAATAATACTAGGGACAATAATGATAATAAATAATTAAACAAAAACAAAAACAAAACATGGAACCCAAGTCTGAACCTTGGTCACGGAAGCCATTTAACTCTAGAGCCAGATGCACCAGCCCGTGGGGAGCACCAGCATAAAGCCAGGCTGCAGTGTTAGAAGCCCAGGCCCTTGGGGCCCATGAACTGGTATAACGGTTATGTCACAGGACTCCCACATGGCCAACTATAGTTTGAGTCCCAGACCCAGAGGCTTGAAACTCACGCTGGGCACATGTGCGTGCGTGCCCAAGATCCCGAGAGGAGAATGGAGGAGAAGGGACTGTGGCATGGCCATCCCCCTAGGGGAGTAATTTCTCACTTTCTGCCTCTCTGGTGAGTGCACATGCCCAGTAGCAAAAAATTTATCCCCTAAATAAATAAATAAATAAACCGTCTGAAAAAAAGCCGCTCAGGCAGTTGGTGCTGGCCAGGCCTGAGAGAGCACCTGCTCCGCATCTGGTCTGGTTGAGGAAAGACGGGGGCTCCAGGTTGCGCAGCAGGACAGGATAGGGAAGGGGCCCTCCGCCCACACCCCCTTTTGGTAGAACCCCCCCTCGGGCCCAGGCGGCCTCAGGAGACTGTAATTACGGGATTAGAAGGCGGCCTCTCCCCAGCCGGGCCCTTTGCCCCTCAAAGCCGCAGAGTGGAGACAGCGTTTGGTGGCGCAGTGCCGGTTTCCAGGTGTGTCTGGGGAAACCTGGCATCCTCTGGTGACTTGTTCAGCCTGAAAGGGCCCATTGTGGCTGCAGCCGGCCTCCAAGCAGCTCTATTTTGGGGTCGGGATCCACCCGCTCCAGCTGGAGGAAGGAAAAGGTGTATTTCAGTATGTCCTGTGAGGGAGGGGACTGCGGGCAGCAGGAGGTGTGAGGAGGGGAGAGGCCTGGGCTCCCTGCTATTGCAGGGCAGGGCACAGGAGCTGTCTGGTTTTCATGCACCCCGGGAGACCAGCTGGCAGACCCTGTCAAGCCGGAATGCAGGTCTGAGGACTGCCTGGGCCCCGCCTGGAATGCAGGTCCGAGACCTACCCACCGGTGACTTCCTGATTCCCACACCCCCGTGGTGCCCCACCCCGTGTCCTAGGCCACGGAGAGACTCATCCTGCCCGGGGGGGCCTCCTGGTTTGGGTGCCAAGGGTCAGGGACTGCAGGGCCATACAGCTGCCTGGCTCCTTGCCCTTCTGCCGTATTCTTGCCTCCCATGGAGGTGGGCACCTTCCGGCCCCAGCTGCTGGCCTCTGCCTGTGTGGGGACTCTGCCCACCTTGTCAGTGGCTCTCCGGGGCCCACCCCATCCCATCGCCAGTCCCTCCTAGCACTGAGTTCCTCTCCCATTCCCCTGAGCAACCTTCCAGGAACTCTTCCCCCAGTGCTCCTCACCTCACTTTGCATAGGCCAGTCACAGGGGGGGGGGGGCCACCCCGGCAGGAGCGTGGGGGGGGGGGGGGGGGGGGGACTCCCCAGGAAGTGGCTTGATGTGTGTCCTTGGGCTTGAGGTTCCTGTCTGTGAAATGGGTGTAATGACATCTGTGTTATCACGTGACAAAGCCTGCGCGATCAGTGAGGTAGCCAGTGTGGCCATGCCTGGCGCATAGTAGGTGTTCTGGTAGTGGTCCTGGGGGCCCTGTGCCCTGGGTGCTCCCAGGCCTCTGCACTTCAGGCCTTTGGGTGCCTGAGCCTGGGCTGCCCGGAACAGCCCCGTGACTCCAGGAATGACTAATTCCACCCCAGCAATAAGCTCTCGGAAGCCCTGAGAAGGGGGACTTTCCCCCCTCTTTCTTCTTGTTGCTTCATTAAACTCTTCTTGAGTGAGGGGAATGAGGATTGTTTTAATCCCTCGGCAGGAGGCGGGGGAGTTCAGGGAGCCCCTGGGACCAGCCTGCTGTGGCCTGTGGTCACTGGAGGCTCTCAGAGCAGAGCAGGCAGGGGTGGGCGCTGGACAGGGGCCTCGTGGCTTTGTTCCGGCCGGTGACCTCAGACAGGCCCTGGCCTTGCAGGGCTCGCTTTCCCTGTCTGCACAATGGGTGTGAGGGACCTTGCTCACCTCCCCATGCTGCTCGAGAGGGTCTGGCAAGAGGATGGCCTGGGGCCAGGCAACTGGCTGGCACATAGTAGGTGCCTTCTGAGTATAGTCAGGCCTCAGGAGAAAACTGAGTGGACAAGCTCTAAACCGTCCTTCGGCCATATTGCTTAGAACCCATTTTTTCCATCTTTTAAAGGTGGCCGGGGGTGGGGGGCAGCAGTTGGCGTGGTGGTTAAAGGCGCTGGACTCCCACGTGCCTGACTGCAGTTCGAGTCCCAGACCCGGCTGCTTGCTTTCTTACTCTCTCTTTCTCTCCTTCTGTTCTTCTCTGGTCAAATTAAAATAAATAAATAAAGTTATATTAAAAAAAAACAAAAGTAGCCTGGGCACTGGGAGGTGACGCAGTATTATCGCAACTGGACCCACACAGCACAGGTCCTGGGTTCACATCCTGGGGCCTCTCTGAGTGCTGGGTGCACACAGGTGTCATGCCCATGCCATGATCATGCTGGCCGAGGCCGGGGATGTGTGAGCTGTGAGGACCCTGTTGGGGATGCCTATATCTCTCTTCCTCTGTGTCTCTCTCTCACGAGAGAAAGAAATCAGTAAACACTGAAAGAAAAAGGGTCCTTGAAGGCCTGGTTTCCTTCTAGTGGGGTCTGGCGGTGACCTGATGACCGGGCCCTGGGGCCACGCAGCAGGGGAGCGTGTTCTCAGACCTGGCAGTCACTTCCAGCTCATGGCTGCTGGCCTGGCCCAGCTGGGACTGTCGACCCATTCCTGGGGCTGCTGAGCCTGGAAACACAGATCCAGACCCCGCTCACCCCAGTGGATCCTGCTAATGCCTCAGTCTGTCCTCCCCAAGGGTGAGGAGAGGAGTGCCGGGGGCGGGCGACCGAGACCAGATGCTCACCCAGGCTGCTTCTGTCCACAGGTGTTCCTGGCCCTCGGGGAGCTGCTTCTGTCTTGTAACTGGGCAGTGGTTGCTGACATCCTGCTGGTAGGTGTGGGGGCCGAGGTGGGGGTTAGTCCTGGGGCCTTTTGAGCAGAGGGGGCTGGGGTTCGTCCAGCTCAGGGTTGGGCCTCTGCTGTTGAGCAGTGTGAGGAGAGGGAGGAGCTGCAGGGACTGTGGGGTAGGGGACCAAGGCCGCTGAACCAGAGCCTCCCACCCCCCAGACTCTTAAGTGTCTCTCCTCTGACCCTAGCCCCATTTTGCGGATGAGAAAATGGAGGTTCAGAGAGGGCAGGTGCTTGATCCAAGATCACACAGCACCAGGGCACTGGTATGGGGGCCCCGGCTCTGACTCCTGGGCTTGCCCCTTCCCTCTCTCTTGAACACAACACTTCTCGGCAAGCTCAGGGTGCCTGACCTCACTGTGGGGTGTGCAGATGGGGACGCAGACTTCAGGGCAGTTGCTGCCGAGCCCCGGTCAGCCCAGCCCACCCCGCCTCGTGTTTCACAAGCTGCCGTGTAAGGAAGGGGCTGGCTCGTCCTGTAGTGAGGCCTGCTGCTTGTCCTGGCCACATGACTCTGCTGTGACCAGACTCCAAGGCAGCCCTACCCTGAGCCTCCCTCTGGGAGCCGGCGGGAAGGGCTTTGAACACTGTGAAGGGCTGTGCCCATGTGGCTACCACAGGATCTCGGGCCTGGGGATGTCCTGAGAGCCCTCCTCCCTCTCCCACCTCCCGGCAGCCTGGGAGTCAAGTGCTGGGCACGGGTGAACCAAGGCAGCCTGGTAACGGGCTGAGAGCGATCCCGAGGGCTGTCTAGGGCAGGGGGGTGACCTCGGTTTCAGCCCCGGTTCTGCCACCAACTAGCTAGCCTTGTGACCTCGGGCAAGTCACTTTTCTTATGTGAAAAATGGGATGATAACAGTACCTACCTCCTGCATTGTCACGGTGGTGAAATGAGAAAGTTATGCCCACAGCCTGGAGCAGAGAATGCTGGTTAGGATTCTCATGGCCTTTTGGAGGTCTCTTCTTTCTCATCCTCTGTTTTTTTTTTTTTTTTAAGATTTATATTATTTTATTTTATTTTTTATTATTTATTTTTTAACTGACTAGAGAGAGAGAAAAAAAGGGGCAAGTGAGAAAGCAAGCTGCCAGGTCCGGGACTTGAACCACAGTCAGCCATGTGGGAGTCCAGTGCCTTAACCACCACGCCACCTGTCAGCCCCTCACTTTCTTATTTTCTATCCCCAAAGAAATCTTGGCATCCTGGGATCTGAGCTTGGAAGAGTTATGGGGTCGTGTGGTCAGTTAGTCACCAATGCCTGCTTGAATACTGCTGTGGACAGGACGCTCCCTCCCTGAGAGAAACTCTGCCCTGCCGTAGCCCAGGGTCAGTGAGTCCCTCGGTGTGTCCGACAGCTGCAGGGCTGGTAGGTCTTCTCTGCCCCTCCCTGCACAGGACACCTGGGCTCCAGCCCAGACTTAGCCCCAGACCTGCTGCATGGCCTTGGGCCTCAGTTCCCTTGTCTATAAAATGGGATAATCATGACCCACCTGGTAGGGTGAGTGATACCCTACAGGAGAGCCCTCAATAAACAGCCCTCTGTAAACATTTTCTTGCCTGGGGCTGCCCACGTACAGGCACAGGGCGGTCAACACCCCCGTTCCCAACATAGCTTGTTCTCTCAGGCACTTCAAATGGAGCCAAACCTACCCCCCACAGCTTCCGCTGCCTGCTCCCCCACTGCTCAGCTCCCTTTTCCACATGACGGCCCCACAGATATGTGAAGACTGCGCCCCTGTCCCCCCAGTGTCTGTGTTTACAAGAATGATTAACCTGGCAGAGTCGGGCCCTTTGTAGAGCTAGAGAGGAGCATGTGCGCGGTGGGGGTGGGGTGGAGCGGGTGGTTATGGAGCAAGGGATGGGGGAGTAGGAGTTAGGGCCAGTGTAGATGGGCCTATCTGGGAAGCTGGCTGCCCCTGCTGGGAGCCAGGCCGGACCCCTAGGGCTCCCCGTGGTCCTTCCCTGGCTTGGACAACGTTGAACGAGACCCCCTGCACCAGCAGACTGCTAGCCCCTTCGCTGCCCTCTCACCCCCTGGAACCCTGGGGCCAGTCTGCATTTCTACGCTTTGCCAATGGAGCTGGCCCCATTCTTGCAGCCCATGGAGCTCAGTCCCACACATTATGGCTTCCCTGGCAAGAAGGGCAGGTTCAGGACCAGCAGTTAGAGCAATGGCTATGTCGCTGGACTTCCATGTCGTCAACTGCAGTTCGAGTCCTGGACCTGGTGGCTTAAACTCACGCTGGGCATGTGTGCATGCATGCCCAAGATCCCAAGAGGAGAATGAAGGAGAAGGGATTGCGGCATGGCCATTCCCCCAGGGGGTGATTTCTCACTTTCTGTCTCTGTCTCTCTGGTGAGCACACGAGCCCTAAGAAGGACAGGTTCAGGGATTGAGTGGGTGCAGGGCCCAGTGCAGGCACCAGCAGGTGATGGGGGACGCCCGTGTTTGTGGAGTTCAGGGGCAGGTGCAGCTTGGAGTACACTGAGGAGGAAGTGAAGGGGAAGGGGGACCTGCTGTGTAGACAGCTCCTTCAAGGAGCTGCATTGCCAGGGGAGGAGAGGGAGGATGGCAGCTGGAGTCGCCAGATCACCGGGAGCGGGTGCTGCTTTTCAGGAGGCGCAGCCAGAGCAGCCTCTAGGGCAGTGAGGGGAGAGTGGGTAGAGAGTTGTGGCATTAGGGGTGAGTGGGCAGGGGCAAGCCCCAGGCCTGGGGGCAGTGAGGAACCTTCAAGTAGAGCAGGGACAGGAAGCATATGAGGATGGGGTGTGTGACAGGAAGTAGAGGAAGGTCCCCTTTGCTGGCCTGCACTATCCTGAGGCAGGAGACACACACCCTGGGGTACGTGTATGCAGAGGGTGAGGCTGAGCCGAGGGGGATGCTCAGGGGACGGCTCTGGGCTGGAAAGGAAGCCAAGAGGGACTGACAGGAAAACAGGGATGTCCTGGCCCTGTCACTGGTTAGCTGTGTGACCCTGGCCAAATGACCTAACCTCTCTGGGTCTCGGCTTGCTCAGTTGTACAGCAGGCAGAGTGGTGGCAACTGCGGATGCTGCCTGGCTCTACGGATGACGCAGCTCTGCATCCCGCATATGCATATTCCGAGGGTGGCGCTGGCCCAGCTCCATCCTGCCTCCAGGTACTGTTCTCCCAGATCCCTTATCCACGCGGCTGAGAATCCTCTCTCCGGAGATGGGACCTCAGAGGCTGGGCCAGGGGCTCTCAGACTTTGCTGTGAATGAGGATTGGGTTCGGAGAGCTTGTTACCAGTTCAGGTTCCAGGCCCTCTGTCCTCAGGATCTGAGTCTGTCGGTCTCCACTAGGCTCCGGGGATCCGCTTTTCTTTCTTTCTTTCCTTTTTAAAAAAAGAATTTATTTGGGAACCAGCAGTTAGCGTAATGGCTATGTCGCTGGATTCCCACGTAGTCGACCGTGGTTCACGTCCCGGACCCGGTGGCTTAAAACTCACGCCGGGCGCGTGTGCGTGCGTGCCCAAGATCCCGAGAGGAGAATGGAGGAGAAGGGATTGCGGCGTGACCATCCCCCCTGGGGGGTGATTTCTCGCTTTCTGTCTCTATGTCTCTCTCTGTCTGTCTGGCGAGCGCACGCGCCCTACAGTGAAAATCTCTCCAAAAAAAAAAAAAAAGAAAAGAATTCATTTAAAAATGATTGTTATTATTATCTTCAATACCTATTTATTTAATATTATCATTATCGATATTAATTTAATTTGGCCAGAGGAAGACAGAGAGAGGAAAAGTGAGAAAGCAAGCCACCAGGTCTGGGACTTGAACCACCATTGGTCATGTGGGAATTTTTCACCTTGACCACTACACTACCTGGAAATTCCCATTATTATTATTATTGTTATTTTAGTTTGCTCACCAGAGAGAGAGAGACAAAAAAAGGAGAAAGCAGCTGCTGTGTCCAGGACCCAAACCACAGTCGGCCCTGTGGGAGCCTGGCGCACGTTAACCCCGATGCCCCTGCGGCCCCGGGATCTGCTTTTCTGAAGAATCTCCCAGTAAGGGAGGTGTTCCTCAGAGCAGCACATTGAGAACATCGGGCTGGCACAGCTGCTCCCTTGCCCCACAGAGCCTTTGCAAAATTCCAACCCTCTTCTTGTTCACAAGTTCCTCTGGTGGGGAGCTCTCTCTCTGTGCCCCAGCAGCCCCTGCCATGTGGGGTGCCTTCTATTGATGGAGGTGGTCTGGCTCAGTCACAGTCAGGACCCAACTCTGGCAGCCTTCTGGCCCGGCGTGGCATCAGAGGCTCCTGCTCCCCAGAAGGCCGAGGTTGTGGCTCTCCAGGCTGTGGTCCTGCCTCCCACACCTACTCACGGGGTCTCTAGCTCCCTTCCAGCTGCTGTCTGGGCCCCAGCCAGGATGGCCCAGAACCTGCTCGCCCTGCCCCAGTGTGGGGAGTGGAGCAGAATTCACTCTGTCTTCCCAGGTCTGTCCTTGGGGTTCTGGAATCCAGCCTCCAGGCTCGTCTCTCACCTCTGCAGGTTTTCCCAACCCCCAAGGGGTAATCACCTTCCCTGTCCTCCCTCCACCCATGTTTCAGAGCTTCCCTGCTCAGCCTCTGCCCCCAGGGAGCCGTCTGCTCGCTCTCTGTCTCACCCTCCCAAGGCTGTCTGGGTGGGGAACACAGGAGGCAGGCTGCCAGGGCGTCTGCACCTGGTGGTTGCCGCTCCGCCTTCCTGCAGGCCCTTAGTAGACACTGGCTTTGCCCTGGGCTATAGAGGGAACAGCTCCTCTAAAAAAGGAGAGCCGAAAACAGAGGTGGTGTTGTCTCAGAATAGAGCGAGCCTGGATTGTTGGGAACCCAAAAGCCTCTCATTTTTGAAATGACCCCCTGGGCTCTCCAGCTGCAGCTGGGCCCAGCCATGGCCCTCTGGCTGTGTGAAAACAATGGGGACCCAGAACAGACGTAGGAGACCCACCTCTAACAGCTGGCAGCAGCAGCAGCAGGTCTGGGCCCAGCAAGTCGGAGCTCCTGGGAGGGGAGGAAGGGGCCAGCCTGCCTGCACCTTATTCTCAGGGGCCAAGCAGCCCCGGCCCCCACAGGGACATTTTGAAACATTCAGTGCTCTCCCTCTAGGAAGTGCTGCCTGACTCCCCAGAATCACCCGTGAGTAATCACATAATTATGGGGCGAGAAGGAAGTCTTTGTGGAAGGTGCAATGCTGTGGTCAGCTCCTTCTTGGGGCTGTTGGCAGATCCCTGGCATGGGCAAGAGGCCCAGCTTCTCTCACCACCTGGACAGAGTGGCCCAGCGCCAGTGACCCTGGTCCTGGTTGGTCATTCACAGTGACTCTTGCCACTCCGCTGCTCATCCACAAGGACCCCTCTCAGCAGATCACAGTGACTCTTGCCACTCCGCTGCTCATCACAAGGACCCCTCTCAGCAGACCCCCTGCGTTCGTCCTCTGGGCTTTTAGAATCCAGAGACAGTGTCCCTGGGCTCCTGCTGCCACACGTGGTTCTGCCGTCCTCTACCTGCAGTGTCTGTCCCTGGTCTCTGCTGGCTTCCAATGACTCTTAGATCTGCAGGCTGGGGGTGAACCTTCTTCCGCTTTCTCTCCAGGTCCAAAGTGTTCTATAACAAACGCGTAATGATTGCTAAATGGTCCGCTCCCCCTCGCCCATAACAGCAGAGGTCAGGTCAGCCTTGGAGAGAGAAGGCCTGGGATGGAGGCTCAGCCTTGGTGTTTTCTGGCTGGGTGACACTGGGCAGGTTACTCCTCCCTGCAGAGATGTTTCTCATCTGTAAAATGCAGGTAGTAACCGTATCTCCTTTGCAGCTCGTTTCAGTTGATATGCCAAAGGCGTGCAGGAAGCAGCCAGTAAGCGGTAGCAAGTATGATTATTCTTGTTGTTGTTCTTGGACAGGCTCTGTTTATGGACTCCTAGGTCTTGGGGATAAGACTTGGTGGTGGGTAGCCCCCTGTGGCTGCATTATTGGGGCCATGTGACTGAGTGGTGTATTCTGAACCCTCTCCTTCTCCCTCCCCTGCCCTGCTGCAGCCCTGGGTTTCAGGCAGGGCTTCTCCTGGGACCAGTGTTCCAGATGGTTCTATTTGACCTACTTGATTGGCAGAACTTCAGCTACTCCCCTCTGTGCCTCTTGCCTTGCTGTACCCCAGGGACCCCTAGAGAAATTAGACAAGGACTTTGCTGCTTCCACCATGGAGGGCTGGACAGAGAAGGGCCTCCTCCCCGTTCTGGGTGATGGAAGTTCAGTTAGGGGTGTGCAGGTGGCTGTGGGTGCTCAGGGCAGGCACCTGGACTCTGGGAGGGCTTTGTAGAGGAGGTGACTCACAGATAAGTCCTACATGGCAAGTGGGGATGCTCCAGCTGGCCCAGAGGGGGGAAGGAAGCTGGATAGAACCACAGCAACTTCTAGAACCAGGAAACATTCTGCCTCCAGGCTGGAGTTTCCCTCTGCCGTCCACAGCAGCCGCTGGGCCCAGGGGAAGAGTGATAATGAACATAACCCTGGGCGCAGGGGCTGTCAGTGTCCTCATCTCGGGATGAGGAGTTTGAGGCACAGAGAGATGAAGCAACTTGCCCAAAGTCACACAGCTGGTGGATAGGGAACCTGAGACTGGAACCTTGACAGTCCGACTCCAGAATTCATATCCTGTTTTGTTTTTTTTCTAAAAAAAATTTATTTATAATTTCTTATTTATACATGATTTATTGTTGTATATCTTTGTGGGATGCAATAAAGATTTTTTTAAATAATATTATTTAACTTTTATTTATTTTAATTTGATCTGGGAGAGACAGAGTGAGAGAGAGAGAGAGAGAGAGGGAAAGTGAGAAAGCAAACTGCCAGGTCTGGGACTCAAACCGTGGTTGGCCATGTGGGAGTACCAGCACCCTCAACCACCACGCCACCTGCCAGCCCCATCACAATGACATTTTTCAAAACATGCTTACAGTGTATGATCATCGAATCATCAAACAACATGACATTACCTTGTGCTTTTTGTGGAATTCATATCCTTAGCCTATTTGCCCTCCTCCATGGAGTTGTGTGGGCCTTTCCAGCAAGGCCACCTTTAGTCTCTGCCCAAAGGGCCTTGAAACGTTCCCGAGAATTCTGAGGCCTCTGTAGCACCCTGCCCACGGCCCACACATGCAGGCACCTGGCTGTGCACCTCGTCACCCTGCCGGCCTGCACTGCTGCCTCCTGCACCCCTGTTTGGAACGCCCAGCCCCCTCACTGTTCATAGCCACGCCTGGTCCCTACCCAGTTCAAGAACAAACTCCTAAGAGGGAACGCTGATCAGGAGGCCTTGCCCCATCCGGGGCACTGGAAGTTTCGTGGCTTCAGTTCCTGAGCCTCAGGTGCTGGGGGAGGGGCTTCAGGCTCAGGAGTGTGTCACCCTCCCATCCCACTCACCTGTCACCTCCAGCAAACCCTCGGCAGGCGGGGAGCAGGAGGTGGGTGTGAAGGGGCACCCGTTCTCCGCCTAGCTTGGGGAGCTCCCTGATGCTTGTGTATTTTGCAGTCCGTGGTGGTGCCCAGGTGCCGGGGGACAGCAGAGGGGCTTCAGATCACCGTGGGCCACATCCTGGGAGACGCAGGCAGCCCCTATCTCACCGGACTGGTAAGGCTGGGCAGGGCTTGGGGAGGCAGCGCACTAGCTAGAGCTGGGGGCTGGCCCCAGGGCCAGCAGAACTAGCCCCTCTTCTTGGCAGATCTCTAGCGCCCTGCGGGCAGGGCGCCCCGACTCCTACCTGCAGCGCTTCCTCAGCCTGCAGCAGAGCTTCCTGTGCTGCGCCTTCGTCATCGCCCTGGGTGGAGGCTGCTTCCTGCTAACGTCTCTGCACCTGGAGAGAGACCAGGCCCAGGCCTGGCAGCCTAGCACAGGTACCCCCACCCCTCACACCCAGGCCAGGCTCAGGGCCGAGCACGACAGGAGCGGGAGCGCGGGCCGCCCCTGATCCCCTGGCCAGTTTGGTTGTGCATTCATTCAGAAATATCTTTGACCCCTTGCTCTGTGCCAGGCAAGGTTGCAGAGGCCAGGGAGTGAACGGATTGGGCCAAGTCCAAGTCCAAGCCCTCATGGAGCTGACGCCCCTGTGGGAGGAGACAGACCAGAAACAGAAACACGGGAAACATACCCTGAGTGACAGTGCTAAGGAGAGACTCAGAGCAGGGATGGGAGTAGGGAGGGGCAGGGGGGGCGGATTGCTGCTTTTAGCAGGGTGGCCGAGGAGACCCTCACTACACAAGGGACCCTGGAGCAGACTTGGAGGTGACGGGGTGAGCCATGCAGCAATCTGGAGGAAGGTGCTCCCAGCAGTGGGAACAGCTGGTGCAAATGCCCTGAGGTGGGGCCCAAGGTGTTTGAGGACAGCAGGGAGGCCAGTGTGGCTGGAGTAGGAACAAGGGGGACAGTGAGAGGGATGGGCAGTAACAGGGCCAGGGCATGAAGCTCCAGGGGTCCTCATAAAGATAGTGACATCGGGACCAGCAGTTGACATAATGGCTATGTCGCTGGACTCCCATGTAGTCGACTGCAGTTCGAATCCTGGACCCGGTGGCTTAAAATCTTGCTGGGCCCATGTGCGTGTGTGCCCAAGACCCCAGAGGAAAATGGAGGAGAAGGGATTGCGGTGTGACCATACCCCCCAGGGGGTGATTTTTCGCTTCCTGTCTCTCTGTCTCTCTCTGTCTGTCTGGTGAGCGCATGCGCCCTATAGCAAAAACCTCTCAAAACAAAACAAAACAAAACAAAAGATGGAGACATCAATGCTGAGCGAGATGGGAGGCTGTGGGGTTCCTGCAGAGGAGGCCCAGGGGGTCTAATTTACATTGAAAACCTGCCGTGTTGATCATGGACTGGAGGGTCAGAGTTGGAGCCTCCTACAGAGGCCGTAGGAGGCTTTGACCATCCCGAGAGTGGTGGGCCGAGACCACTGGTGGCACTGACGGTAAGAAGGAGTCAGGTCTGGAGTTCGTTCTGTAAATGGAGTCTAGAGGACTCCCTGACAGACTGCAGGCTGGCTGCAAGCACCTCCTGCTCCCACAGGGTCAGCTGAGCCTCTTTCTTCTCGCAGGGACCCCGGACAGCAAGGACATGGACAGCGTGGACGTGGAGAGCCGAGGCCTGCTCTCTGGAACCCCTGCCTTCACAGAGCGCCCCTGAGCCCCTCCCCGCAGCAAGGAGGTCCCCTGCCCTGCCTGCACCCCTCCTGCTGGCCCCCACAGTAGCACTGCCTCTGCCCACCTTTGGCTGTGGTTCAGGGGCCCTGGCCGAGCTGCATCTGCCACTTCTTCGCTCCCAGCTAGAAAGCTGGCAGGGCCCAGCGCCTGGGCTGGGAATTGAGCTGTCAGCACCCTCTGTGGGGGGCCTGGGCCTGTGCCTGCACCCAGCAGAAAGCTGCTCCAGCCGGGGTCCTCAGCCTGGCTGCGATGAGCCCGATTAAAGCGTGGCCGAGACAAAGCCCATGGAGTCCAGGCCTCCAGCCTGCCCTCTGTTTACAGCTTTTGCTGTGCCTCTGCTGGGCATGGGAGGACAAGAGGTGGGCCATGTGGGCTAAGGATGCAGGGCTGCCCCTCCATGGGGCTCTCTAGGGATCTCCAGCTTGGACCTTTCCCTCTGACACAGCTTCCCTAGTTGGCAACGTTGTGGGGGCCCAAGACACCCCTCTGCGACTCCACCCTGTGAACGGAAGATGGGGGCCACGTTGGTGGCCTTAGGGGTGGGTTTCCATTAGATTCTGCTGTGGGTGTGTGGCTTTAGGTCCCAGGGAACCACGCAGAGGGTGCCTGAGCCTGCACAGACACATGCAGCCGCCCCAGAGTCACGCCAAGGGGCGAGCCTGGTCGTGCATGCATGCTCCCAGCCGTGCATGCATGCTCCCGACCATGCCGTGTTCTGCACTTCCCCCCTCTGCCCACGCTGACCCCAGTTCAATCTGTGGGGAGGGCTAGCTTGGTGGGACCCACGCTTGCCATTGGGTTCAGAGCAGCTGGGCTCAGTGGGCCCTGCAGGAGATCAACAGCTTCCAGGCGGGCAGCAGCGGGAAGGCATGTTCTTTCCGCCCATGAAACTGAGCTCCTCTCCCCTCCCCTGGTGCCCAGCCAGGCAATCACTTGCTCACTTGCGAGTTGCCCCTTCACTGTGCCAGGCTGTGCCTGTCTCCCTGCAGCGTGGGCAGGACAGTGACCCAGACTCCCGCGCACCCCTGACCTGCGCTTGCGTCATCCTACCTCCCGCAGTGTCCTCCCTGCCCCCATCACTGGTTGTGACAGGCCCCAGGAGCTGGGCTCCCTTGCACAGCCCACACCTGCCCCGAGAGTCAGCCTCACCAGCTGACTTGCCCCTTGATCCATGACTTGATGCATGGAACTCGTGCAACAGGCAGCTCCTGAAGTTCCAAGGACTAGGATCTGCGAGGGTATTTGGTTTCACCCGGGAAGGAGGTTGGGCTGGAGCTGGGCCATTAGATCTCTCTCGGCACTTGCTGGCAGGGTGCCTGGGACCACTTCCTGTCCCTCTCAGAACTGCAGACCTCCCAGCTATCTTGCAGAGGTGTGTTGTTAAATGTGGCTTTTCTAGCCAGGCCTCATGTGGTTCTCATGGGCTGGGTCTCAATCAATAGAAGCCCAGCTCAGGGCCTGAACATCCTTTCCAGCAGCCCTGGGGTGGACCTCTGTGAGGCTCAACTTCTAGAAATGGGTGAGGGCTTCCCAAGAGTCAGAGGTTGGTCCCTCTCCCACAGCCCCACCCCAGGATCAGCCGCTGGGGAGAAAGAAACCTCGGCCCATGCCAATTCCACAAACGTGTGCTGGTATCAGAGGGTGTCATCAGAGCATCAGGCAGCGAATCACACTCCAACCCTACCTTGGTCCTCACAGTCCAAGGTAGGACAGGGAAATATTGGGGTACAACTCTGGGCAAAGGAAGAGATAACACCCCTCAGAAGCCTTTGAGGAGGTAGCTTTGGAGCTGGTAATAGCTGGGGTGAAATTCTAGGTAGAGGGAACAGGACAGGCAAAGGTCTGAAGGGTGGGATGGAGGTGTGTAATGAATCACAGAGGAGGGGCAGTGTGGCCAGGGAGGAGGGTGACATCAGAGGAGAGAGGAGGTTTTTGTTTTTGTTTTGGAGAGGGTTTTTTGCTATAGGGCTCATGCGCTTGCCAGAAAGACAGAGAGAGCCAGAGAGACAGAAAGCGAGAAATCACCCCCGAGGGGGGATGGCCACTCCACAATCCCTTCTCCTCCATTCTCCTCTCGGGATCCTGGGCACGCACGCACACGCACCCAGCATGAGTTTAAGCCACCAGGTCTGGGACTCGACCAAGGTCGCCTGCATGGGAGTCCAGTGACATAGCCATTACGTCAACTGCTGGTCCCAGGGAAAGGAATTTGAAGAGGCTGGGGCCAGAGGGGCTTCAGATGCCAGCAGAGGAGCTGGAACTTAATCCTGTAATCCAGGGTAGTTCCTTCTGACTCACTGCACGCCAGTGTTTGAGTCGCTGGGTGGGGCTAGGTGGTGCTTCCCAGGACGGAGCTAGACAAGATACCCAGTCAGAAGTTTATGGGGTGCTTTTGTCCACAATGGCATGGGGCAGGGCAGGAGCACCAGGACTGGCCAGCCCTGGACGTGGTTGAGACCAGTGTCTTCTCTGTAGCCAACCCTGACCCCTGCTTCCCCTAGTTCCCACCTCCTACCTCTTTGGGGCTGGTGACGGTGGGTTGAACTCTCAGGTGTGACTTGGAGAGTCTGGGAGAGCCTGGCCACTCAGGCTCGAGTGGAGGAGTCTGTAAATAGAACACATCTTCCCGGCCTAAAGGGCACTTGTTGGGTAATCCCAGTCACTAATACTGCCAGACTTGTTTGTTGAGAATGTCAACAGGAGGAAAATGATGCTCAGCAGGAGGAATCCTGAATCCCACCCTGCTCTGTTCATGTGCTAATTACTCTTTCCAGACACACACGCTGCATTCCAGCTGCTCTTGTCATCCGGGATGCAGGGGTGCCTGACCCTGTGCATGCTCTTCTCTGTGTCGTGTGTGAGCCACAAGGGCCTGTTTATAGGGTACTGATAGAAACTCTCCTCCCACTCAGACCTACAGCTTGAGGGGTTGAGCATGCACATTCCTGCACCCCAGCCCTGGCTTGGTCTCTCCGACACCAGACCTGGGTCTGTCTGTCATCCCCTGCAGGGTTTGACTTTCCTCCATGCCTGGATGGGCTTGGGAGGTTATTTGATCTAATGCAGCCTCTAAGGACAGAGCTGGCAGGAGCAGCTGGAGGTGCTGGGGCTATTGTTTACCCCAGCACAGGGAGGGGTGTGTGTACATGTGCTCCTTCTGCGACCATATTTGCTTGGGTTGTGGGGTCATCTGCAACAGAAATAAATGGAATACCTTAAGCAGGAAAAAGACTTACCAGGAGCATATTGAGAGCTCACAGAATTGCTGGGAAGATTGGAGATTCAGGAGTCAGGGTTCTTGGGTCATCTTATTTGGAAGTCTTGGTCACAGCTTCAGACATTTCCTCCCTGTTCTTCTGTCACCCTTCTCAAGATTTAAAGCCCTGAGCCAGATTGTCCAGTTGGGCTAGCATGGTTCCTATGCCCATGCCTTGATTTATAGACCCTTTCAGGCCAGGGAACTGGGTGCTGTTAGGAGGGAGCATGCATTTGGAGCATCGAAACAAAGCAAGACAACAACAAAAGGAAAATGATGACAAAAATAAAAACACAGTGTCCACTAAAATGAATTCGGGCAGGCCACTAGCCCTGTCTAAGATGCAGCCTGTCTGCAGGTTGGGGAAGAGGCTGGACTTAAAATCCTTCAAGGGATTCTTCATTTCTGATCATGTGAGTCCATGATCAAAGGAGACTGAAGCTTCTATAATTTAGAACTGTGTTAAAAATGATCAAATGACAGAACAGGAACTCCTGCATTAGTGGGGACTCAGGGCCGTCTGCTCTGAGCAGGAGAGAGAGGCAGAGATGAAGCATTCTAAGCAAAACTCACAAGGCAGGCCCAGGCTGGGGGCTGGGGACTGCTTGGCAACAGCAGAAATAGAGAGGAGATGCCTTCCTCCCACCGGTGAGTGGCAACCTGTGGAGAAGGCCAACCAAAGGGCGGAGGTGAATGGCAGGTGGAGGTTAATAGAGGGTGGAGCCAATCAGGGAGGAAATGCATTTTCTAGAGGACCAGGAGAGGAAGCTTGCTGATGTCTGAGTCACTCAGAGCTATAGACACATGATGCAAATCAACACACATTTCCTGAGCACCTGCTAAATGTCATTTATTCATTCAATCAACAAACATTCTCTAAGCACCTCCTCTGTACCAGATCGGGGAGATGAATCAGACAGGGTATGGGCCCTGGAGACTCACGCTCTGCGGGTGGGTGGGTAGGGGGGTGGACTCTTGTACAAACACAATCAGTATAATGAGTTTGGTGTGATGGAGGGAGAGGTGGACAGGTTCCCAAACAGCCCAGAGGAAGAAATGATGCTTGTTCAGGTGGGTCAGGAAAGGCTTCCTGGAGGAAGTCATGTCTGTGCTGGGTTTCTGAAGCACAAGTGGGAGGGAAGAGCTGGGTAGGCAGCCTAGGCAGAGCCTGTTGGAAGGGCTGGGGGAGGGGGTTGCACATGAGACGCTCTCCGTGGTCCTGAATCACCATTGCATTAGTAGGACAAAAGCTTTTATGTTGAGGGGAGAGCAGGCACGGTAGACAAATGGCCCGATCCTGGCCACTCCCCCAGGGTCCAGGAAGTATAATGATTGTAAATGAGGTCAGGGAACTCCATGTTCAGTGCAGTGGAGTGTAATTTTGAGAGATGGGTAGTAGGATCTGAGGCTAGGGATCATCATGGGTCAGGAGAGATTGTGAAGGGTCTTGGAGACAGTATTAAGAAAATCGGATTAAAAAAAATTCAGCGGATGTGTGTACTCGCCAGAGACAAAGAGGAAGGAGGAGAGAGATAAAGAGAAAGGAGAGAGGAGAAAACATCCCCCATGGGGAATGGCCACACCCAAACCCCTTCTAATCTATTTCTTCCTCCTTTCTAAATTTTGGGCAAGCACACACATGTGCCTGGTGTGTTTCTCAAAGGGTCCAGGAAGTATAATGATTGTAAATGAGGTCAGGGAACTCCATGTTCAGTGCAGTGGAGTGTAATTTTGAGAGATGGGTAGTAGGATCTGAGGCTAGGGATCATCATGGGTCAGGAGAGATTGTGAAGGGTCTTGGAGACAGTATTAAGAAAATCGGATTAAAAAAAATTCAGCGGATGTGTGTACTCGCCAGAGACAAAGAGGAAGGAGGAGAGAGATAAAGAGAAAGGAGAGAGGAGAAAACATCCCCCATGGGGAATGGCCACACCCAAACCCCTTCTAATCTATTTCTTCCTCCTTTCTAAATTTTGGGCAAGCACACACATGTGCCTGGTGTGTTTCTCAAGCCACTGAGTCCAGG